CCAGCCAGGGCCCTGACTTAAACCCAATTGAGCATCTCTGGAGAGACCTAAAAATGGCTGTTCACCAACGTTTACCATCCAACCTGACCGAACTGGAGAGGATCTGCAAGGAGGGATGGCAGAGGATCCCCAAATCCAGGTGTGAACAACTTGTTGCATCTTTCCCAAAAAGACTCATGGCTGTATTAGATCAAAAGGGTGCTTCTACTAAATACTGAGCAAAGGGTCTGAATACTTAGGACCATGTGATATTTCAGTTTTTCTTTTTTAATAAATCTGCAAAAATGTCAACAATTCTGTGTTTTTCTGTCAATATAGGGTGCTGTGTGTACATTAATGAGGAAAAAAATGAACTTAAATGATTTTAGCAAATGGCTGCAATATAACAAAGAGTGAAAAATGTAAGGGGGTCTGAATACTTTCTGTACCCACTGTATATACACACACTCACACACACATTGGGCTTGGGATGGGTGTCATCACGCGTCTCCACCAATGACAGCATTTGGGGAGGGCCTAAGACTGCAGCAGCACTCACATTAACGCTCCCGATAAAATTATTTGGGCTAAGAATCAACATTCACAAACCACTGTCAAAACTGTTATTTTTAACAGAAAAAATGCAACAATATCACGACTTCATAAGTGGGAAATAGGAAGTTTCCGATAGCACGTGAAGACAGCAGAGAAGTGCTCTTGCTCAGCACAGTGGAGTGAAACGTGTTGTTAAATTTGTGGTTTATTATTTTGAGTCGTTTGGGACGTGGTAACACACGGACCTCTCACAATATATTGCTTTACAGATCTATCACTTTTGCCGCTCAGAAATGTTCACGCAATCATGCTGCACATATCAGAAGTTAGCGCTCACACTCTCTGATCTATATATAACTGAACCACGCTCTGGCCCACCTCTTCCAACCGAGCCAGGGCCGGCTAAATGAGCCGGAGCGATCACACTAGTCAAACGAACTGGGCTTTGGGGGTCAAAAACGCTCGGGCACTGTTAAGATTGCCTAGTGTGAGAACACCCTTATTCTCCCGCATCCCGCACACACGAGTCTGTACCCGCCTGCACCTGCACTCGTCCATCTAGTGTTGTCCTGCGCCGCACTCTGCTGCGTTGGGTCCCGCGATCGTGCAGGTCTCTACTCGGAAGGTGCCTGTTATAATGTTATTATCGAGGCTCTTCTATAAAAACGTTAATGCCCTGGCAGTGGCAAATAGCTTTGGTTTTATATTTAAATTGATAACATTAATGTTTAAGTTGAGATTTACAAGATTAACTGCTACTATGTAAAAGGAATACTGCTGTAAAAAGCACGTTATTTGGTTTAAAGTGTTTGCAAACCAAATGTTATTGCACTTTTGTTCATATAGCAGTACTTTTAAATGAAAAACATGCACAATACACTACTTTTGAATTCATTATTGAACAATTGGTGGCTGACTAAATACTTTTTTGCCCCACTGTATATATATACATATATACATACATCATACATACATTGTTATTGCACTTTTGTTCATATAGCAGTACTTTTAAATGAAAAACATGCACAATACACTACTTTTGAATTCATTATTGAACAATTGGTGGCTGACTAAATACTTTTTTGCCCCACTGTATATATATACATAT